GTGGAAGCTGACCACGCGCACGCAGCCTGTCGGACATTTTCTTGTTTTCGGCTTTCAGGCTGGAACTTCAAACTGGGATTTTGTTACCTCCTCCACCTGCACAGGCAGCACGAGGTCCCAAGCCGCTGTGATTTCAATGCTGGGCCGGCGCTGGCATTGAACAAATGAGAGTTAAGGGCCCATTAATCCAGCCCCATTAACGGGTCTCCAAGTCTGTGGTTTTCTTGATGATTGGGCCCCTGGGGGGAGTTGGGAGGAGAAAGCGGCTTGATGCTCCATGGATGAGGGCTTTGGGTTAGCATGTTTTGGGCGCCATGGGCTTGGGCGTAGGGTTTTTTGTTCAGTTGGCATTTGGGTGTGGAGGCTTTCCTGCCTGGCTCAAAAAGGAATGTCCGAAGAATGAAGGTCCACCCCGAACAAGGTCCCCAGAATCAGGGATCAGAGTTTAGGCTTGGGTGCTTAGGGTTTGGGGTTTAAGGGGTTGAGAACTTTGATCTACTCTGGGTAATTTGGATACCGAAGGCTGTAGGATTCTCATGAGATCTGAGAAACATCACGGGTTGAGGTTTCTCGGGCCCAGGGTGGAGCGGTTCGGAGTCCCTTTTGAAGTTTTAGGCTCTTGTTCAAGATTACAGTCCCCTTAAGCAGTTAGAACAGGGGGCATATGGGGATTTTTTAATAGTAGACCCAAAGCCATATTCGATCTACTTAAGGGGACTATACCCTAAACACTAAACCTTAAATCGTAATTTCCATTTCATTCTCCATTATTCCCATATAACCCCAATATAACCCTAATAATATACTATATTCAACCTACTTATAAGGGGGAGTATACATTCAGTGCTGGGTCGTCTATGGCCCCAAACTGGGTTGGGAGAGCTCAGTTTCATTCCTGGGCATCGTGGAAGGCTGTTGCAGGATTTCAGATTTTGGGATGCGGATGAACCAGGTATGAGCAATAGTCTAAATTCCTAATATCCCCTTTCAGTACCCCTATAGTATTCCCCCCCATATAATCCCCTAACCCTAAACCCTAAACCCTAAACCCAATTCAGACTCTAGCTGAATGGATCAGCTCTGGAAAGCCGCGGCTCCTTTGTGCCTTCGCCGTTGTGCTGAGAGGGCTCATCCTAATGTAGACCCCTAATCAATAAACCCCCCTTCCTTTTAAGGGCCTTAATATTAGGAGCCCTAGAAATTATAGTCCGTATTCAGGGGAGGGGGTTGATTAATCAGAGGTCTACATTATCCCGGTTGAGGGTTTGCAGGGAAGACTTATCAAGGATGTGTTGAGACCCTTTCCTGTTCACATTAAAGCCTCCCCTTCATGCCCATTTGTAGCAACAAAAAACTGGGTGTCATGTTCAACCCTTACGGATCCAAATAGCCCAATGTCGGGTTTAGGGTTTTAGGGTTTAGGGTTTAGGGTATGTAATATTCACAGACTTTAGGGTCCAATGTTCGCATTAGTTGTACACTTGGATCCTCATATAGGCACTTTGATAACCCCAGGTTCCTTTGCATGCTCCATTTTCTTTTCCATTTGATTCTCCATATTTGGTATTATTTGTATACTTGGATCCGTAGGGAACAAAACAGGGTGGGGAGTGCTTGTACTGTCAGGAGGAGGGATTCTGGTGTCGTTGTGTAGGTCCACAAGCAGCAGTAGCACTTCCAGAAATGAATGCCATCCGCGCAGTGATTGCATGTTAATTCTACGATGAAGTCTCCTAATATATCGATCCGTCTGTATTTGAGGTTCAACACTGACATTTCATTTGCCACATACCTTTGAGAACGTCGCCGAGGCTATGACCTACCAAAGATCTTTGCAGACGGTCAGGAGGCAAGTTTAGTCTTCAAATCTCCTACGCCCTAGTTTTTTGCTTCCCTAAAGGGGGTACTGTAGGGGATCACATAGGAGACTACTACAGGGCTTATTGAGGGTGATACTGGGAGTTTAGACTATAGCTCATTCGTGCGCTTAAGGTGCCCCCAGGAGCCCGTCAGCTTTCTTTAGCCCAGCTCGAAGGGTGTGGGGTAGGATCGGGAGGGTTCAGGGCTCTGGGCATTCTTTTCAAAAGCATTTGACCACATGGTTTCTGGCATTGCTCATGCGTTGATGCTGAGATGGGTCTGTAATCAGCTCTGGCTTTGCTGCTGCTTTGGAGCTTTGAGGCTCTACAGTTGTTTGACAAAGGGTCAGTCGAAGGGATCGGAATCGGGTAGCTAGCAAAGCCTTACTATCGCGACCCGTTGGTTGGTGGTGGTGGCGACTTTGAACTTCCGTATTATAGTCCCCCTTAATTAGAGATAATATGGCTTTGGGTATGTATCATAGTATCATAATAAGATCCCCATTTACCCCATATTCTATCTACTTAAGGGGGACTATGCGCAGAAAGCTGTGTGGTGGGCGGGGGGGGGGCAGTATAGAAAAACATCGCACTGCACAGGTGGGGAAGATCCCCGCAAAGCAGTGGCGGCCGCTGAAGGACATCTCCCCTTACAACCCTATGTATTCATAGTAGAGTGTACATCAAAGATCTTAATTATGATTTCGCTGCCATCACCTTTCTTGTTGTTATTCTTGCAGCCCTAAACCCTAAACCCTAAGCCTTTGGCATTTTGGAGCTGGTTCTTGGAGCTCTTGCTCTGAATCAGCTTTATGGACATAGATTGTTCGGGGTTTAGGGTTTAGGGTTTAGGGTGCATTTGCTTTTGCCCCATAGGAAGCACCCATCCACATCCCCAATACTAATGCAACATGCCCCTAAAGTTTCTTATAGGACATCTTCGATATTAGCGGGGGTTGCTGGGTTGACTTCCGCATATTCGGGTTGCCAATTTACTAATTGGGCTCAAAGGTACAGATGCGATTTGGAGATCAAGATGAAGCTATGATGAATTAGTAAGTAGGCTGATACTGGGGATAACTACGGTTACTATCGGGGTGATAGGGGTTATTAATCTACTTACTAAGTCCCCCTGACCCTAAACCATAAATCCTATACCCTTAAACCCTATACCCCTATACCCCTAAACCCTAAACGGCGCATAGGAATGGGTAGCCAGTAAGCTCCCTGTTCGCAAGGCTTTTTATGCTTTAGGCTGTAAGGTCTAGGGTTTAGGGTTTAGGGTTCGGGTGTTTGGGGTTCCAGGTTTAGGGTTGAGGGTAAGGGTTTAGGCTTTAGGGTTTAGGATTTAGGGTTCGGGGTTTAGGGTTTAGGGAGGGTTCGGGGTTCAGGGTTTATGGGCTTTACGGTTCGGGGTTTAGGGTTTAGGCTGGAACCCGTG